ATAACTGTCCAAAATCCCTTGATCTCCTAGCTAATAACTGTCCAAAATCCCTTGATCTCCTAGCTAATAACTGTCCAAAATCCCTTGATCTCCTAATTTGGTTTCTCATTGATGATCTCGATTTAGGATTCTTGATTGTTCTCGAGTGTTTTCTCACGTCTTACTGTCACTTGTGAAGGTTCTGATGGAGATTTCAAGTTGTAATTCCTCTACATAAGTATTTTTCTCTCTCTACATCCTGTAATAATTCTGAAATAAATCTTTGCAATATTCTAATCCTAAGAGTCTAATGCATTTGCCAATTTGAAAGTCGTGAATCAGACTGCGTTTCTGATAGATTCACAATTCTGAATGTTTTTTAATAAACATAGCTTATGAAATTCCAATCCGAAATTCGCCGGGATCTTCATGCATCCGTTTTTTCAATGGTTTTTTCTAATGATTGTTTCTTCCATAAGCTGAAGTCCTTTTACTACTATCACTGTTGATTCATTTTTCAATTTTCTATACCAAGGAATTTCCTAAGTTGGATTCAATTCATTGTTGATTTTCTAGGGTCTTTGTGGCGATATTTTTTTGTTTTTTAAATTTTGATCAGAATTTGACCTACTTCGTTTTGTCAGATTCTTCACAAGGATGGAGAGGGGATGGAATCGGGCTTTCTAACGGGTACCGCCCAGGGGGAGCTCTTATCAGATGCGATTGACATTAGGTAGTTTAGGCTTTCCAATGGGTACTGACTGATGAGGGTGAGCCTTGGCGCGATTGGCGTTGGGTAGTGTTGTTTTATCCCCTCAAGGACGGAGACTGAAATTCTTCAGGGTGATGATGATGCCCGCCCTCTGCTGAGATGAGGTTCTTTGGACTCTTTACGAGCATGGAGTTTGGGAGAACGAACGAGGTTCTTCCTTTTGATGATGGAGGCAGGATTGTTCGGGCTGTCTGTTTCTGGGGCTGCCTGTTTCCCTGAATTTGTCCTATTCTTGTCAGAGATAGTCAAGTGAGTATCTTGTAGGTTTTCGGGGGAATTGTTTTGAAGTAGGGGAGGGGGCATGAAATCATTCTTTGCAAGGACGGAGAGGGGGATGGAATAGGGTTGCTTGACGGGTACCGGCTATGGGGAGCTCTTATCAGATGCGATTGGCGTTGGGTAGTTTAGGCTGTCCAATGGGTACCGGCTGGTGAGGGCGAGCTCTGGCGCGATTGGCGTTGGGTAGCGCTTGTTTACCCCTTTGAGGACGGAGACTGGAGTTCTTGTGGGGGCAAGGAACTTTGGGGTGATGATGGTGCTCACCCCCTGCTGAGAAGCGGTCCTCTGAAACTCCTTACGAGGATGGAGTTAGGAAGGACGGATGGGACTGGGATGGAGGGAGTCGGGGTGGATGCGATTGGCGCCAAGTATCTTGGCGGGTATGTTAATCCCCTGATTTCCGGGGCAATCAATGCTGGCAGGGGGAGGTCTTCTTAAATTTGTCTCAAAAAAGACGTGTGCGGGAGAAGTAAATGGTTTGGATATCAAGGGTCCTACTAGTGAGGGGGCTAGCTCGTAGAATGGAAATATGGTACAGCAGCAGCGAAGATGGGGGCTCTGCTGCAGTAAGTCTTGCCGGAGTGAGGTAAAGAGGATTGATGGGGGGTTTCGGAGTCGTTTCTGAACTTTGCCTATTTTGAGGTTGGTCGTAGTGATTTTCTAAGTAGCCCAATTTTTTCTTAGCCAAAGCCGGGTCATGGCCCCGATATCTCAAACTTTCAAATTTCTATGTAAATTTCTATATGGGACGTTGGGCCCAGTTCCCAGCACGTGCTGCTCCCCATGAATAGATTGGAGCCCTGTTCCCCCCCCCCAAAAAAAAAAAAAAAGCCTATCCATTCGTGGTCGTGGCGTCCCTACCGGCGGCACCCTTTTTTTAATTCCGGCGGTGATTCGAATTGCATCTGCGGATGGCGTGGATCGTTGTCTTCTGTTGCCTCCAGCTTTTTCTGCCTGACCTCCACGGACATTGCTACCTCCAGTCTGACATCGCCTTCCAACTTCCCTCTCGTATTCTGCAACATGCGGCTGCTTCGATTTCTGGCCGGTTCACAGGCGGGACAGCGAAGTTTGCACACTCCGCATCAAGGCCATTCGGTGCTCGAGTGCGAGGAGTAGAGGAAGACAGTGGTGTTCGCCACTGCCATCACATGTTGTGGGTGCAAGGGGTCTCCACGGCAGGAGACTCTCAGCAGCGTTGAGCTTCATGCCACAAAGAATGCTCAGCGGACGTCTCGCCTTACCTTGGATCATTCGGGAGGTAGAAGACGATCAGGGTGCAACATCCTCGTCATGTGTGCGGCCAGCCGGTCCTCCAATTGCCCTGTCTGAGCATGCACGGCACGAACGTGAAGGTCCTGCGATTTCTCCGAGAGATTGCTGCAAGGTATCTGTCATGGTGGTATGCTGCCGTCCGTGCTGGGGTGAGAAGATCCGCGAAGGTCCGGTGTCGAAGGAGGGGGGGGGGGGNAGACAGGTAACAATATTTGAGACACATTCTTTTAAAGGGAAAATTCTTTAGACTTTACCCTGGGATGGTCGGCGATGCTTATTTGCTTGTTCGCTCATCCGCATTTGGGCTTTCTGAATATTTTCCTTTGCTTTAACTATGTCTTGTTTATGGAGAATTGTAAATTCTCTTGTACCCGGGAAAAGTCGTCGGACTTGTTCCCAGTAGTCAAAGCACCAATGAAACGTTTCGGCATCCAACCTTTATGAAGTCTCTTATGCGTTCGATCTGTCACAGTGTGAACACTATCGTTGTAAACACTTGCAATTTTATATAAGTTCTCGTCCCAATCAATCTGCCAGTGATCCGTAACCATACATACGAAAAAGTCGTTGGCACAATCTGTTCATCTGCTCAGTTTGGCTAATTTGTTTCAGGATCATATCTAGTGGACGACATGATCAATCTTGTGCTATACGCTTCCGTCAACATTTGTCATTGCTGGCCAGTGAACCATACCTCCCAATCAGA